GTTCGTGGCGGGGGCGTCGGCCCACACTCAAACACACGTACCGCCGCCACCCGTCCCATGCTGTTCATGCTCCGCGTGTGGCTGCTGATGTGCGTTCAGCCGATGCTGGTGCTCACCTTGGGTCTGTTTCTGAGCACGTTCCCAATGATGTCGCGCGTGCTTTTCCTCCTGTTCGCCGGCTGCAGTGGAAGCGCATGCCAAGAAACACTTTGCTGGTCTCCAACGTGCCCTGGGTTTCTTGGGTGACGATGCTTCTACAATGGAAAACGTGACGTCCCCATGCAAAACATCAGCGGACATATTGAGGTCCCGGGGATGGGGTTCTTCTGTTCCTACTGTACGCAGTGGTGAACCGTTCGTCGTCCTTCCCTGGGCCATATATCCGTCCTGCTCTTCGCCCTCCCGATGGGGGTGCTGTTCGTCATGGTGGGGCCTGCGGCATTCACGTCGACGATCGTTGAAGCCAACGTTGTGATCGAATTCGCGGGTTTGGCCTCTTGTCCAGGCCTGTTGGCGCATCTGCTGTAGGTGCTTCGCTGCTAGTGCTTCATGGTCTCCTTCAGCTCATGCTGGTCACGCCGGCGGCACGGGACATACATCGGAGTCGTTTCCGGTTGCGTCAGCTTTCCCGCAGTTGGAAGGCTTCGCTGGTGCGAGGGCAGTGGAGCGCAGCGTGGTCAGACACTTCGTGGCGAACTTCGTTGGCGATGTGGTTGTACGATGCGATTCGATCTCGGGCCGTCGTCATGTGAAGGCCCATCTTTGCTTGCTTTGAGCTTTGAGCTGGCTGCGTCTTCAAAGCCAACACGAGACTATAATCTAAGGTCTGCAATTTTTTTGACGGACTTGTGTGGTTGGCCGAGAAATTTGGCCAGCTTGGGTAAATCATTCTGTCTGTCCAGTGTCACCTTATTATTTGTATTTCAGAACTTTTCTGCCAGTGCCTCCAGGCTAGCTGCCTGGTTTCTCCTCTGCCCCCGCTTTTCCCTCGCCTTCGGCTCTTTGGGCTCCCCGCTTGGTTTGCGGGCATTCGCTCCCCGTTCTGGGGCCCGCTTTCTTGCTGCATTGCAATGCAATCGTCAAGAATTGGGGGGAACATATCACGCCATCATCATCAATCATAGCCACCATCGTCCAATTATGACCACCCGCCATCGTCATTACCGCACCATGACTTCACATTTCCCTTCACCACAGCATCATCATCATCGCGCCGTGCCGTCGCATTCGCTTGCACACTCACGCATTCATCTTCCGGAAGTCTCCGGGCGGTAGCCTCGTCTGCAAGTGATTGCGAGGAAGTCTCAGGTGGGAGCCCTGTCCCTGTGGGGCCCGCAGCGTATAATATTATCTGAGCGGGCCATCGGAAACATGTAAATGGCGTCAAATAGGGCTTCTCCACGCTTGAGTATGGAGGAAGTCTCAGGCCGGAGCCTCGTGCGTGAGGCGAGGAAGTCTCAGGCGGGAGCCCCCTCAGGGCCGCAGCTCATGTTACTAATGTTAGCCATCGTCGGAAACTTGTGATTTCATTTTTTGGGGGCTCGTGATGTTTGAATATGCGGGACGTTTCGAGCGGGGGCCTTGTCTGTGAGTGAATTGCGCGGAAGGGAGCCAGGCGGCCCGTGTGCGAAAAAATCGCGAGCGAAAGCGCTGACAATGACAGCGACGCCGAGGCGCGGGTGAGGAGCGAGGAGCTAGCTCATGTTCCCGTCCAGCGAGCAGGAGCTCACGTGACAGAATTCGGCAACGCACGTCGTGCGCCGTTCGGTGTTCATTCTAACGCACGCGTCCTGCCTGTACCCTGCGTTGTCAAAGGGTCAGACGCTGCGCAAAGGCGTCACCATCGCTTGCGCCAAGGATGCGGGCGCTGGTCTTACGGGCGTGTCGGACGAGCAATGGTGGCTGCACCTCTACGTCATGTTCTCCCGCGCCGCGCGCAGGCAGAACACGCTGATCCCGCGGGCACCCGCGCGGAAGTTCCTGGAGCGTGGGCCGCCGGCGCCCCTGCGCAAGGCGCTCAGGGAATTCGACAAAAAACTGGGGCGCTCCATGGCTGAGGCGAAGCAGCTCGCGGCACAGCTGGGCCCCGCGCTGCCCCCCGCACGTGCGCGGCCGCGACCAGTTCGAGACTTGCGGGTTTGGCTGGCTTGCTCTAGCGCCCCAGCGGCTCGCGGGGCTGTACCGACGGCCCGCCCCGCCGGATTGTCTCAGCGGCTTCGCGTTCATCTGGGGGCGCGCCCATGCTTGCCGCGGCGGCAACGTTGCCAACAAAAACATGGACTTGCGCGGCTTCGGGAGAGTGGCGGGGAAAAGGTGGATGGGGAAGGAGGCAAGAGGACAGGGAGGAGGACGATGAAGAGACGGGAAGAGATCTTTTGCGTTCACAGGGACGACGATTACATGCACTTCCGGACCAGTTTGGACAATTCGCATGCAGGGTTCCTTCACTTGGAATCATGCCGATATTTTTTGCCACTTTCATCATGTTCCGTGCTTTCGTTTTATCACTTCTCGTAATATCGTTCGTGCTCGTATTATTTGCGTGCTGTTGTTTTCCCCTTTCTGTGCGAAGTACAAACATCTAGTGGCTTTCCCTTGGAGAGGCTTTTGCGGGGCCTGCGAGAGGCCTTTGGGGTGTTTGGTGGCTGTTTCGGGGGCCATTTGGCCCGATCAAAGCACAAGTGACACCACCGCACCCACGGCCCTCCATGTTGCGCTGCGGCACGTCGGGGGCCATAATGTAGACCACGCAAAAGCATAAACCAGAACTCATGGTATTTTGGCTGTGGATGGGGATGCGGACACCGCGCGAATATACGCGTTTTCAATGGTTTGCCCCTTTGCGGTCCGCGCCCCGGGCCGCCAGGCGGCCAAAGAGGCCCCAAGAGGGTCCCAGCACGGTCCATTGGGGCTGCCGAGGAGATCTTCTGACCCTATGTGAGCGTTGCCTGGGCGGCCATTGGGTGATGTTGGCGTCGGGTTTGGCAGGTGTTGGTCTTTAGAGGTCCTAGCGACAAACGCCAGAAGCGTCCAGAAGTTCCCAGAATTCCAGCAAGTTGGTGGCCTGGTCCCTCAAAGATTTGGCACCCCATCGGACGATTGCATGGTCTGCATCTTCGTCCTCCGCCGCCGCCTCCTCTTGCTCCTGTTCCTCCTCAGGAGAGCAAGCAAGAGTGGAGGCAGCGGCAAGGGCAGGTTGCCAACTTGTCGAGGGGCCGCCCAAGGGAAGGTGATCCGTATTTGCAGTGGACATTTTTTCGCGCAGTGGGAGGGCAAGGGATGATGGGGGAGGAAGAAGCAGGATGATGATACTGATTATGATGATGATGATGATGATGATGATGATGATGGTGATGATGATGATGATGCTAATGCTGATGCTGATGCTGATGCTGATGCTGATGCTGATGCTACGATGATGGTGGTGATGATGATGGTGATGATGATGATGATGATGCTGATGCTGATGCTGATGATGCTGATGATGCTGATGATGATGGTGATGATGATGATGATAATGATGCTGCTGATGATGATGAGGATGATGATGATGCCGCTGCTGCTGATGATGATGCTGCTGCTGATGATGATGACGATGACGATGACGATGATGATGATGATTATGATGATGATGATGCCGATGACGATGATGATGATGATGATGAGGATGATGATGAGGATGAGGATGAGGATGAGAATGAGGATGAGGATGATGCTGATGCTGATGATGATGGTGGTGATGATGATGCTGATGCTGATGCTGAGATGATGATGATGCTGAGCCTGATGATATGGTGATGGGATGGCGATGGTGAGGTGATGTGATGGTGATGGTGATGGTGATGTGATTTTTTTTTTGATGATGTGATGGTGATGTGGATGATGATGATTATTATGATTATGATGAAGGATGCTGATGAGATGATATGATGACGATGACGATGACGAATGACTGATATGATGAGGATGATGACGATGATGATGACGATGATGATGACGATGATGATATGCTGATGTGATGATGAATGATGATGATGAATCATGATGATAATGATGGATGTGATGATGAATAGTGATGATGAGGATGAGATGATGATGATGCTGCTGCTGATGATGATGATGAGATAGGAGTAAGGAGGTGATGATGATGATGGTGATGGTGATGGTGATGGTGATGTGATAGATGGTGATGATGGTGATGATGATGCTGGTGATGAATGATGATGATGATGATATGATGATGATGATATGATGATGATGAGGATGATGAGGATGAAGGATTATGAGGATGATGAGGATGATGAGGATGTGAGGATGATGAGGATGGATGAGGATGATAGGATGATGAGGATGACGATGACGATACGATGATGATGATGATGATGATGCTTGATGATGATATGATGATGATGATGGATGGTGGGGTGGTGGTGGTGGGGTTGTGGTGGTGGGTGGTGTGCTGGTGTGGTGATGATGATGAGGATGACGACGACGACGAGGATGAGGATTATGATCTGATGGCTCATGATGATGATGATGATGATGAGGATGATGTGATGATGATGATGATGATGATGATGATGATGATGATGATGATGATGATGATGATGATGATGGGATGATGATGCTGATGCTGATGATGATGATGATATGATGGATGATGATGGTGGGTGGTGGTGGTGGTGGTGGTGGTGGTGGTGGTGGTGGTGGTGGGTCTGGTGGTGGTGGTGGGTCTGGTTGTGGTGGTGGTGGCGTTGGAGGAGGAGGAGGAGGAGGAGGAGGAGGAGGAGGAGGAGAAGGGGGCGGAAGGGGAGGAAAAGCCGGCAGTTGCTGAGCGCGGCCGCGCGCGTCGGCGGCCGCATCGGCGCGCGCGCGGTCCGCTCGCCTCGGGGCCCTCCTCGGAAACGAGGGCCCCGGGGCGCGGAGGCGGAGTTCGAGCAGGAAGAGCAAATGAGATGGAAGGGACCTCCCGGGCCGCCACGCGGGCGCCCCCGCCCCAG